GGCGAGGCGGACGAGCCCGAGATCCGGCGGCCAGAGGAGGAGCCCAGGCGGCCAGGAGGAGGCGAAGAAAGCACGATCGGCTTCAGGGCGGTTTCGAACCACCAACGGGCGGCAAGTGGATCGAGCGAGGAGATCTCGAGCGTACTTCTTCAGATCCGAGGACAGCAGGAGCGGCGGAGGGCTGAAGGAGTTCCAGAACGACGGAGGCTGGAACTGCATTCCGACGTCCTACGACCTGGCGCTCGACCAGTATCGGAGTGCTGCTGGTAAGACAAGGGGCTGTCTGGAGGGATCTGACGCCCAGGACCGGGTGGAGCGCTTCGTCGATCGCCCGGCGACGAGAGCCGATGTCCATAAGGTTGTCATGCAGGCGGCCGTGACGGAGGGAGCTGACCCGAATGAGCTCGGGTCGCAAGCGCGCGCCTAAGAGGAGCGTCTGCGTTCTGCGCCGCGTTCCAAGACACGTCCCAGGCGCAGCGCCAGGGCCGCGGGAAGGGCGACGTTTTTCAGGGTGACATTTGGGAGGCGAACAGCCTGGCCGACGGGGTGGAAAGCACGATGGCGGAGGTGGACCTCACATGGTTCTAGGAGACGAGGAATAACGGTGGGGCGCGTGCGGAGGGCAAGCCAGCGCAGAAGAGGAGAGGATGAGCCGCGGCGACGGCCTTGGCGGGAGTCCGAGGGGCGCCCGCAAGTACCCCCACCGCGGCTCGGCACCGCGGAGCGCCGAGGCGGAGCCGCGGCGGCGACCCTGACGCGCTGCAGCGGGGCGCCCGTCCCCCGAGGAGGAGTGGAGAGATGCCGCGGCGGCGGCCCCGACGGGACACAGAGAGAGGTGCCCTCTTCCCGACATGTGGTGCTGGCGCCGGCGCTGGAGCGCCGCGGAAGTGCCGGCGGAGCGGCGGCGCAGTGGGAGCAGGCACGGGGCCCGCGGGCCCCAGAGCGGCGCGGAGGCCGGTGGCGGAGGGTGGCGGCTCGCGCGCTGCCGCGCGAGCGAACGCGCCAGAGCACGGCGGCGGGGGGGGGGGGGTCTGCCGGACGGCGGGGCCCCGCCGGGCCCGCCGCCGCAGGAGCTACCGCGCCGGGAGCAGCGCGCTGGAGGCGCCTCGTGCTGAGAGAGAGAGGGTGCCGGCGGTCGGAACGCCGCGCGAGGTCCGCCGCCGCTCCCGTGCAGGACGAAGCCCCCAGGGCCAGACGGGACAGTCCCCTCGCTTCTCGACATTTCTGCGGCCTCGGGGCGCTTGGCAGCAGCGGCGCCTCGCAGTGGGCGTGCCGGGGGTGCCCAGATCGTCCCGAAGGGCCGCTAGGGAGCCGAGGCGTGGCCCGAAAGCCCCGCGCCCCTGCGTCCTGGCAAGAGTCACGGCGGGAGGCTCGTGGCCACTCCTGTGCCCTCCAGGGGCCCGCACCGCGCTCCAGGACCGTCAAAGAGCGGCCCGGGATAAGAAGCCGATCCCAGGGAAGGGGCCCATAGGGGGTCCGCATTGTTTCATATACATCTATATATATATATACACACACACTATGTATATAGTTTTCGGGGGACACCAAAAAAACATACCCACCAAAAAACAGCAGGCCAGCACCAAAACAAACAAACAGATAACAACAAACAACAATGCGTCGGAGATGTGGATCTCTCCAGACGCGCCCCTGCCTACGCCCAGGGCGCAGCACGGGACGCCGACGCCAATGACGACGACTACGACGATGACGATGACGACGACGATGATGACGACGACGACGATAACGACGATGACGATCACAACGACGACGATGTAGATGAAAACAATGATGATGATGATGATGATGATGATGATGATGATGATGATGATGATGATGATGATGATGATGATGATGATGATGATGATGATGATGATGATGATGATGATGGATGATGATGATGATGATGATGATGATGATGATGATGTGATGGTGATGGTGATGGTGATGGTGATGGTGATGGTGATGATGGTGGTGGTGGTGATGGTGATGATGATGGTGATGATGGTGATGATGATGGTGATGATGATGGTGATGATGATGATAATTATGGTGATGATGATGGGGCTGATGGTGATGGTGATGACGATGATGGTGGTGATGGTGATGATGTTGAGTATGTTGCTGCTGATGATGGTAATGATGATGATCCTGATGCTGAGAGTGATGATGGTGATGGTGATGATGTTGAGTAGGTTTATGAATGATGATGTTGATGGTGACGGTGATGATGATGGTGGTGATTCGTAGGTTGCTGATGATGATGCTACTGATCATGATGATGATGGTGATGATGATGATGACGATGATGTCGACGACGACGACGACGGCGACGGCGACGGCGACGACGACGACGCCGACGCCGACGCCGACGCCGACGCCGACGCCGACGCCAACGCCGACGCCGACGGCAACGGCGACGCCGACGCCGACGCCGACGAGCGGCGCCGACGGCGACGGCAACGGCGACGACGACGACGACCGCGCGACCCGGCTCAAACAGGCACGCCCCGCCTTGCTCTTCTTTTCCACAGGCCCCTGGCCCGAACAAAAATCGAGACGGACGTTTTTCGTTGTCCCACAGCGCTTCTCGGCAGCGCGTGCGACCCAAAGCTGGGTCAGGGTCCTTTTGTCAACCTTGGTTGTGCGACGACTTCGTCTTGACATCGGGTCGAGTCCTCTGCATCCTGTGGTCGGTCTGCCCCGCGAGATTCGTATCTTGGCATGCTCCGATCGTTCTGCTCATGCGCTGAACTACGTCGCCCTATAACTGGGACCCGCTGGGCTCTCCATGGCATAGGCTGAAAGGAACCCGCGGACGTAGTCGACACGCCAGGTGAATACATATATATATATATATACATATATATACGGTGATGACGCAACGGTGGTGACGATGATGATGATGGTGGTGGTGAAGACGAGGAGAACGACGACTATCACGACAATTGCGGATGCCAGTGTCTTTGATGTCGGTCGTTGTAGTGATGAAATTGGCATGGTACTTGTAATGAGCCGCCAGGGGAGCAGCGGATTGAACACGCCTTGTATTCTGCATATTTCATCAGCTCCGCGCAGAACTCGTGCGCGCCACTCACCTGCTCGGAGGTAACATCTTGCAGCGGTCGGTGCGACGAGCGGAGTTCTTACGCCACTAATTTGACAGACCCCCACCGTGACGTGATCTCCTCGTCGGGGCTCGTGGAGGCATTGCAGGGACCCTCTTCGACAATCCCACACATCTAGACGTCGGACACGTGGACCCGTCCTCTCCCTGGCAGCCACCTCGTCCTCCTCCCTCGTCCTTTTTCCTCCTCCTCCTCCTCCTCCTCCTCCTCCTCCTCCTCCTCCTCCTCCTCCTCCTACTCCTCCCTCCTCCTCCTCCTCCTCCTCCTCCTCCTCCTCCCTCCTCCCTCCCTCCCTCCCTCCCTCCCTCCCTCCCCCCCTCCCCTTCCCTCCCTCCCTCCCTCCCCCTCCCACCCTCCCTCCCCTCCCTCCCTCCCTCCTCCCTCTCTTTCCTCCCTCATCCCTCCTCCCTCCTTCCTCCTCCCTCCTCCTCCTCCTCCTCCTCCCTCCTCCCTCCTACCTCCCTCCTTCTCTCCCTCCCGCCATCCCTCCCTCCTCCCGCCATCCCTCCTCCTCCTCCTCCTCCTCCTCCTCCTCCTCATCCCGCCATCCTTCCTCCTCCTCCTCCTCCTCCTCCTCCTCCTCCTCCTTCTCCTCCTTCTGAAACGCCTCCTCCTTCAAGCCTCCTCCTCCTACTCCTCCTCCTCAGTCTCCTCCTCCTCCTCCTCTCTTCCTCCTTTCTCTTCCTCCTCCTCCTCCCCCTCCTTCTCCTCCTCCTCCTCCCCTCGTCCTCCTCCCTCTCCTCATCCTCCTCCTCCTCATCCTCCTCCTCCTCATCATCATCAGTATCATCAGCATCATCATCATCATCAGCATCATCATCCTGTCGTTGTTGCTGCGGACGGGTCCAGGTCAAAGCCTCGGTGCCCCCGCCCTCAGCCAATGCTGAAGTCCTCGGTTGAAAGTCAGCCTCGACCTAGTCCCTCCCCCGTCCATCCTCCTCCTCCCCCTCTCTCTCCCATCCTTCCCTCATCCCTGCTCCAGCTCCTTCTTATCTTCCTTCCCTCCTTCTGTCCCTTCCCCTAATCCTTTCTCCTCATGCCGTCTTCTTTTCCCTCCCCTCCTGAACCCTATCCTCCTCCTCCTCCTCCTCCTCCTCTCTCCTCCTCCTCGTCCTCGTCCTCCTCCTCCTCCTCCTCCTCCTCCTCCTCCTCCTCCTCCTCCTCCTCCTCCTCCTTCTCCTCCCCCTCCTCCTCCACCACCTCCTCCTCCTTCTCCTCCTCCTCCTCCTCCTCCTCCTTCTCATCCTGACCCGTTTCCCCTCCTCCCCCCATCTTCTTTCTCCTTTTCCTCCTTCTCCTCCTCCTCCTTCTCCTCCTTCTCGTTCTCCTCATCCTTCTTCTGATCCGTCTCTTCCGCCGCCGCTGCCGCCTCCGCCTCCGCCTCCTCCTCCTCCTCCTCCTCCTCCTCCTCCTCCTCCTCCTCTTCCTCCTCTTCCTCCTCCTTCCCCCTCCTTCCCCCTCCTTCCCCCTCATCCCCTCCTCCCCCCTCCTTCTGAAGCCCAGTCGCATCTTCCTCCTTTCACCCTCCTCCCCTCCCCCCATCCGCCCTCCTCCCCTCTCCCCCTCGCGCGCGGGGAAGGCGCGCGTGCGAGCGCTGAGGCGGGAAAAGGGGCGGGAGACCAGAGGAAGGGGCGGGAGAGGGGGGGGAGGGGAATGCCAGCGAGGGGAGAGGAGAAGTGGGGGGGAGGGGGGGGGGCTGCGGGGCGGCACGGGGCGGCACGGGGCACTCTGTCTGGGAGAGGGAGGGGCGGGGTGTCCTCCTCGGGCGTGGCCTCCAGATGTCCAACATGCGAGTCCAGCCACATGGTCTTCCAGGTGGTGCTGGTCCGTCCCCGCGGTACCGTCCGAACCCTATGCTCTTGCACTCCCCAGGACCAGTGGGCCCGGGTTGAGATCTACCGCGAGCCCGACGTCGTGGAGGACGTGCGGCCCCTCCCGTCTCTTCCCTCTCGCTTGCACCTCCACCTCGACTTGTCTCCAGCCACCCCGGCACTTCTAAGCGCACAGAGCGCTCCAGAAAGGGCTTCGCCTTCGGCGCATCTTCGCTTTTCGGCAAAGGCCAGTGGAAGTGAAACAGGGGTGGCCCCGCCAGCGGAAGTAAAAGTTGCGCCAGGGATTCCAGAATTGGCTACATCTCACCCAACTGTTGACGCACCTCTTCTAGGCTCAGCAGACTCGGTACATCTTCGCGATCTAGCTCTACTTGAGTTGTGTTTGGCTCTTCCTTACGCTGCGTCTTAGCATTATGTCCCTTCCCCTCGTCCTGTTGCATGGATTGAACTGGCGTCTCGGTTAATGTGTGCTGGATTAGGTGGTCTCCTTTTTCATTCGTGGATCCCTTATTAGAATATGTATGTCTATATATATATAGAGATATATACACACGCGTGCCCCTCCCCCCCCCCACACACACACACTTGTTTGGTCTGCGGGTCGGGAGCGGGCCCCTTCCGGTCAAGGGTTAAACCTCCCCCCACACACACATGATCATACAGTTCGTCTTGACGTATTGTTCTTAATCGTATCCTTCTTCCTCTGCCTCGTCTTAGTATTCCTCGTATTCAGCTTATTCCTCTTATTGTTAGTATTACTATTCGTCTTCATCTTCTTATTCGGATTATACCTTGTTCTTTCTTAGGCGTCGTCCTCATCGTATTCCTCGCCTGCTGCCGCTCGTGCCCCTTCCTCTTATGAATAGGAGGAGGAGGAGGAGGAGGAGGAGGAGAAGGAGGAGGAGGACGACGACGACGACGACGAGGAGGAAGAGGAGGGGGCCGAGGACGAGGACGAGGACGAGAAGGAGGACGAGGGAGGAGGAGAGGAATGGGAAGATCATGAAACATGAGACGGGGGAAAAACATCGAAAGGGGAAGCAATCGCATGCAACCTGTGCCCCGGGCAAACATAAGTGTATAGGCTCAAAGCCCCGCTACGACGGCGCTGCTTGGAGCCATGGGCAAACCAGCAAAGAAAACCGAGGCCTACTACCAGAAGTTGGGGAAAAAAACACGGAGTACCAAGCCAAACAGAGACTTCGCGCATTCCTTCAACAACCACGGACCAAGCAGCTGGTGGCGACCTTCCGCCGCGCGGCCTTTGACAAGGTCCGCGCGGCGGTCCGCCGAGCGACGGAGCAGCACAGCAAGAAAGAAGACGCCTTGAAGACCATGATGTCAAATCACACACACACACACACATACCACAACCCAACATCCAATTGTTGCCACGCAGAAGCGGCACGATTCGGAAACACAGTATATCACACGAGTGTTACATTGTGATTCCGGGTCGCGCCGCTCCTGCGTGGCGCTAGATAGCGCATCTCTTCCGCGGCGCGTCCACAGGAGACGCTCCAACGAGCGCACGCGGAAAGCCGAGAGCGCACGGGGCGAGGCGCAGTCTTGGAAGGACGAGGCGAAGACCGCTTGGAAGGAGGCCAAGAGCTGGAAGCTTGCCTTCCTGCAGGATCTCTGCGTTAACCCTTCTGTCACCTTTTATTGTTGGAAAAATAAAGAAGAGGGGAAAACAAAAAACAAAAAAAAAATGAGCCCCGCGCTTGCCCCCCCCCCCCCCCCCCCCACCACCACACTCGAGGGGACACAGCAACGCCAGGAAGCGGAGGAGAAGATGACTGCGGCGCAGAGCGCGCTCGCGAGAGAGAAGGTGGTGCTGCGCCAGAACATGGTGCGCTCCAAGGCCCATGGCATACTTTTCACCAGCGCCACTAAAGACCACGGGCGGCGGACACGCAGTAGCGACTGCTGGCTGCGACTAGCGTCTCGCACAGCAGGGCGCCACCATAGGTCGTCCGCCCACTGCCAGCAAAGGCGACAGTGGAAAGCACGCTTGTCACCACGAGGTGACCCACGCGAAGAGGCAGCGCCAGCGCCTCCAGTAGAGGAACCGCTACCTCGAGGCAGCGGTGGCGCCATGGGAGGCCTGAGCTCGTGGACGGCGGAGAACAAACGAGCGGCGCCACGGCGAGTGGCAGGAAAAAGGGAGAGAGAGAGAGAGAGAGAGAAAAAAAAAAAAAAAAAAAAAAAAAAAAAAAAAAAAAAAAAAAAAAAAAAAAAAAAAAAAAAAAAAAAAAAAAAAAAAAAAAAAAAAAAAACGCATATTGCCATGCCCTCTTGGGTCTTTGGCTTCGGCGGCGGCATGGACGGCGACGACGGCCCCTCCGACGCGGCTGCCGACGCCGCGCCTCCCCGCGCCTGCCTCGCCGATCAAGAGAAAGCCAGGGGTTCCCCGCTTCCGCCTCGAGAAGCACCAGGATTGCGGCGCCATTGACTTGAGCGCGCCGACGCCGAAGAGAAGCGCATGACCCTCGAGGAGGAGCTCTCGCAAGTGCTAGACGAGGGCGGGGCGACGGGCGCCGCGGCTGCGAGTTCGGGCGCTGGCGCGCCAGCGCGAGAGCGCCCGCGATGGCTGGCGCTCTGAGGCTCTGAGGGGTGCGATGCATAAACGGCGTTTGCGATTGCAGCTGGAGGCCGCCGATAGGGGCGCCATTCGACGCGGGGCAGCGAGCGGCCAACGCTGCCCCGCCGGAAGTACCTGACCTGCGCGCACGACGTCTCCAAATGAGCAAATAGGGGAGCACGCGGCAGTCGCGGCAGCGGCCGCAGAGAAAGAGAGAGAGAGAGAGAGAGAGAGAGAGAGAGAGAGAAAGAGAGAGAGAGAGAGAGAGAAAGAGAGAGAGAGAGAGGGAGAGTCCCGTTCTGCGAACCACCTTTCTTTCTCAGAGAGAGAGCATCGCTGGCCACTGGTCGGTATCGTGATACCGAGGTGCCGCGAGGACGGGCTATGAGCACACCGTGGGCCCGTCTCACCCCAGAAGGCCTGGACAGAAATGGCAGCGACGCGCGAGCATTGAATGGCACACAAGCAAGACAGGAATGAAGGAAACGAGAGGGCTCTCAATCAGGGGTGGGTTGGTGAAGAGAGAGAGAGAGAGAGAGAGAGAGAGAGAGAGAGATCCCCAAAGTCTCAATCTCCGCACGTGGGCCATCGGCCTGCACGACGTAGCAGCTAACGTGGATGATGTTGCTCAGGTGGCCACTCGGCCAGGGGGGAGGGAGGGAGGGAGGGAGGAAGGGCCCTAGTCATCATAGGAGGAAAGAGGGGAGGGGGGATAAAGAGAGGTGCCCATCAACTCCCGCGGTACCACGCGTGGTACTCGCACCCACGGACGGACTGGGACCTCAAGTCACTGGGCAGGGTCAGACCGACATCACTTAGGGAGTGGGAAAGAGAAAAATTGCCACGACTGGGAGTAACCGGAAGGGCGTGGGACGGTTGGAACGCACTGGTCGGCCATCCAACGACAGCAAAGGGCGAACACACAAGCCTGACCAATCGGGCATTTGGAGGGAGAGGGGAAGGGAAACGGAGCGGTCGGACTGACAGCTGGGCGCACTCCGGGTTCAGTCCACATGGGCTCCCAGGTCTTTGGGGTTCCACAGGGTTGAGTGAAGGGACAGGGGGGGAAGGGCGATAAACTTGGGAGGAATCGGCGAGGTGGGAGGGCTAGGAGGGAAACCCTGCGAGCCTCCGACGGCGAGAGCAATGGGGGCGCTCATCGCGCCTAGCACCATGTACTGCACAGCGGCCTGTTCACGACTGTCGGCTAGGGTGAAAGGGAACGGAATGGTTGAGCAACTCCTGGGCGCATGAAACCTGCGATGAACGAACCAAGAAAAACTGTTGTATAGGAAAACCTGCTTCGCACAACTCGTCATCCTTCAGGTCTAGCGGCAGCTCGCAGTTTGGGTCAGCATCCGTAATCTTTGACTTGATTCAGAGCGCTGACCCATTTATGATGTGCAATACTTGCGAGATACGCTTCTCCTTGGAACTGGGCACTGCCTTGCGTGGGAAGTGCGACTTGATGCACTTGTTCACCTGGCCGACCACCGCTGCGTCGTTCATGGCCTCTTCGAGTTTGGCCGCCGCCTGGCCCCACGTGAGCTTCGACGGGAGAGACTTCTTCTTGCCATTGATCGCTTGGAGCCAGCCCACCTCCGCTCTGCTCATGATGTCCTGGGGTTCGGGAGGGCCCACGACTGGTGTCGGCGAACAGCCACGGCTCGCCTCTTGTGTCGCCTTGGACTCCTTCGTCTCCTTCTGGGCCTCGAGCTTGGAGAGGCGGTCACCAAAGGCTGACTTCATCGCTGCTGCCATGTACTCGCCCTGGCGTCTCAGCTTCATCTCCTCAACCCTGTCCTTCTTGTCCTTGATGAAAGCACTATACTCTGGATCCCGTTTAGCGAGGGCATCTCGCATCTTCTGGAGCTCCTTCTCCTTCTCCGATGGGGAGCTGGAGCGGCCGACTCCCCCAGCACGACGGGCACGGTCACGGTCACGATCATCCCGTCGATCCTCACGGCGGTCTGGAGAGCGTCGGCGGTCACGGTCACGGTCACGATCTCGATCACGGTCGGAGCTGTCACCACGTTGAGCCCAATCGCGGCGATCATACCCATTTTCACGTTCACCTTCACGACGTGACCACTGGCCCCTTTCTGAGTACCAGTCGACTCGACCTCCGTCCCGACGTTCTCGATGTTCATCGTGGCGTCGCCAGGGCTGGCGGCGCTTCCCGCTACGACCGTCACCACCCATGTCTTGGAGAGGGAGGAAGAACTTGTGCCACTGACGCGTTACCCTTCGAGCCTTCTGGATAGCCACGGACCAGGGGCAACAGTGTAGGGCTGCTTTGATGAGGCCCGCGGGGTATCCCAGGAGGATGAGCTCCAGGGTCAACTCCAAGATCCAGGCCAGCGCAACCGGGATGGTGAGGAACAGGTACTGGGCACGGGCCAGGCGCCCCGAATATAGGGCAGCAACCATCCCAAAGCCCTTGGGTGTAGTGCCTGGCCAGGGGAGGATGTTGGATTTTGGGCGCGGTCCAGGACCATGAGCGA